GCTAAGAAAGCAGAGCTCTGCAGCCATCCTATGTGTGCCAGTCCCATGAGGTAGTGTCTTCGAACTTCCCAGCTGTGCTTTTGCCTGGCCTTCAGTGCAGTGTGGACCAATACAGCTGCTTGCAATCATAAAAATGTTTAGTCTGCACTGCCCCGGTCATGTGGCCACTAGTCACATGTGGCTAGTGGGCCTAGGGAACTCATTTTAAATTTTTTAATGAAATTTAAATAGCCACATGTGGCTAGTTGCAACCATCACGGACAGCATGGCTGATTCTCTCCTTAGTGAAGAGTGCCATTCCCCACCCTCCCACCTTGGGGTGGGTGTAGGTCCTGTCTAGTCGTTTCCAACTCGTGTGACCCTGTAGAACCGAGTAGAACCGTTCCTTCGTCTCCAAGATGACGAACCTTTACAGCAGACAGCCTTGTCGTTCTTCTTCTGAGTGGCTGGTGGGTTTGAACCCTCAATCTTGCAATTAACCCACCGCTTAATGCACTGTGCCAACAGCCTTCCTTTCTTTGACCTAGAGCTCGGTGTAATCTCTGGCGTGATCTCTGGAGGTAAGCCCAGCTGATCTGAATCACTGACCTGCCAGAGGGGTGCTATCGCTGATAACAAAAAGTTCCATGCTCCTGCTCCTGAGTGCCCAGAGATGCACGGTGGTGGCATTTATGCTGAAGGCACAGTAGGCCATCCCTGTGCCAGGAATCAGCTTAAGCAGTGCTTCCTCGGAGAAGCCTTCTGGACTTTAGACAGGTTTCGGTCTTCCTGTTCCATTTGCATGGCTCTGTTTGGTCATTTAGCTGCACTGTGTTACTGGCTGTCACTCCAGCCACAATTCTGAGCTCTTCTGAGGACAAAAGCGGAATCATGGCTGCCGGAGTCTTCACAGTGGCTCCAGCACAAGGCAAAGGGATGGAAGGACAAAGTGCTGAGGGAGCAGAACAATGTATGTTGGCTCTGATTGGTCATTAACTCTAACTGGAGTCTTGGGGCCCTCACAATGATGGAGGGATTGGTAGTGTAAGGCGAGAGATAACTGGGTCTCTGAGAAACAACAAGTGGCTCCAACAGAAGACTGTTGCCTGGGTCAGTGGGAGAGTCAAGGGTGGGCTGGAAATGCTGCCCTCAACCTGGATTGGGCCACATCTCCTGAATCTTAGAGACATCATGGGTTGGGTTTGGGTTTGGTTCTGGGTATTTCAAAGAATACCGCCTCCTGGCTACTTTTAGATTACTAATCACAAGGTCTGTGGTTCAAAGCCACCAGCTGGAAGGAAGGTTGAGACTCTCTAGTCCTATAAAGATTTACAGCCTCAGAAACCCTATACAGACTCGCTGTAAGTTGGAGTTGTTGTCAATAGCAGTGGGTTTCTTTTGGCTTGGTTGTGTGGCTTGAAATCCTGAAATGGGATCCGCCTTCCCTGTGTGTGCTCCTGCTTTCAAGATAGCGCGTTGATTACGCACTGGGGTTATTCACTCTGGAGCCCATTCTCACTGCACGCTGTGTATAAGCTTACAGAATTGTGCGCGCGCCGTGGATGCGGAGAGCTGCTGCTGTAGCTGTGGTTGCAGCACCTGTTGGACCTTAGGAAACGTGGAGTTTCATCCTGGGAACCAGGGTTGTGCTTCAGAAGAGCCTCGCATGTTCTGCTTCATTTTCCTCCCAGATTCTGTTACTTTCACCCATTAGCTACAAAGGGAAGTTGAAGATCGGGACAAAGATTCCCTTTCTGTAATAAAAGCAATCACTATGGCTTTAGATGTTTAAAGAGCCCTGGTGGTGCTGTGGCCTAATCATTGGACC